TCTTGCTTCCTTTCTGGTTATCAGCAAAGGCCCACTCTCATCTTCAAGAAGATGATGCCCTCTTTCTTTGCAATGTGGATCCCAACAACTTCAAAACCAGCAACAGAGAATCTTCCTTGTGTTGAATGTCTTTTCAAGTAAAGCACTATGCCTTTTTATCTCACCTGATTAGGTCAAGCCCATCAAAGATAGCTACCCTTCAAATTCAGCCATAGAAAAATATTTGAAAAATCTCTGGTGCTATAGAAATAACTTCTATAGGAGTCTAGTTTGCCAGGACTGAAAAGCGAACTTCCTATGGGATCTGGGTATATCAGACCAGGTGCTCCAGTCCCCTGAGGATAAGATAGAGACAGGAAGAACCTTAACAGGGTCCTTTCTTATCATTGCTCTGACCTGAAAAAGGCAAGGTGTAAATGCAAAACAATTCACACACCATTAGAGCTATACACTTTGACAATGCCCTTTCTCTTTGCTTCACATCACTCAGTTTATGTGAATCTCTTCTTTGCTACATTGGCTGGCCAGCCTGTAACTCACATGACAGAGTTAGATTTGACTCTGGGGCTCAGGTGCAGGGGAAGGGAGGGGTGTGGGGGTGGCCTTCACGGAAGTAAACAAGGCCTTGGGCATTGAATAATAGCTGTGACTAGCAAGCCTCATTGTCCAGCATTTCAAGTTATCAAGCAACATGTTGGCCTCTGCTACAGAGAAAGAACAGAGGATCCCTCTGCAGAATGAATGGAATCTGATTTCAATTATGTTCAGTGCAGTCTTCCTCTTTAGATAGACAGGATAGAACACCTGGTGCAGCTTGAGCCACTGTGGCCACAGGGACAGCACATTATGTGGGTTTTAAAAGCAAGTGGAAATGCTGCCCTCCTTCTTCAAGCTATGCCTTATAGGTCTAGCAGAAGAGAATGTGAAAAAGCCATAAGCACTGCACAGAGAAAGGGGGATTATTTCACCTTGATGAATTCTCCCCCGTAGTATCTGCACATATTGATCTTTCTTGTAATAAGTTTGCTTAGATCCACAAGCCATGACCCCATTGACATCTGAGTCATTGGTGGGAGAGTAGAGGTGAAAAATCATATCTTACTGATTTGCACCAGCACCAATTGTTCTGTGTTTCCCTCTATCTTTTGGGGAACCCCATGGGCCCACCTGTATATAATTTATTTGGATGTTTTTCTTCATTATCAATATATTAGGGGATGGCAAATGGAACAGCTGCTCCAGAGAGCAGCCTATATTCACAGCACTATTCAATAGAATTTTCTTAGATGATGAAAATGTTCTATGTCTGTGTTGTTCAATCTAGCAACACTTTTGAACACTGGCAAAATGTCCAGTGAAAGTGAGAGATTATATTTTAATTTTTAAAATATTAATTAATTTAAATTTAAGTAGCTGCACATGGCTCATGGCTACTTTGTTGTACAATGCAAACCTAGAATGAGTTCAAAGAGGCATATACCAAGACAGAACAGGAGTGAGTTAATCAAAGAGAAAGCCAATGTGGCATAGAAAATTTTAAAATAGGAATAAGAACCCTCATTCTAATTCCAGCTCTGGCTCTACAATTAGGTTGCTTTGCCCTCTTTGGCTTCAGCCTCCCTATCTTTGACTTAGACTAATGTCAAAAGTCCAAAAATTATAGCTAAGAACTAAGTTCAGCTTCAGAATACATGATTTTCAGAACATTTTTATGTATTATATGACTGCCTTCTTGTGGTGGGAAGGCAATAGCAAGTGCATTCATTCCAGTTCACCAGAGCGTCAACCATTCTCATATATATATATGTGCACACATATATGCCCACCCACTGTGTTACTTATGTATATACTCTATAAAGGTATTTAAATTTATGATCCTGGATAAGATGATTTCTTAGGATCTTTCCTGTTTTGTCATGCTGTGAGTCGTTAAATAACTATAGTATTTCAAATCTGTTTCCATTTAGGCAGGTGACTAGACTATTCCTGTCACTTCCTTTCTGGATGTGATGCTAGTTACTAAAGTTTGGAGACGTGGGTGAAGATGGGAAGCAGAATATATATGAAACCCTACCCCCATTCCTCAACTCTACTTTTAAGCTAAAAATATTGGGTTTAGGATTTCACACTCCCTAGGGGAAACAGCATTATATAGTAGAAAGAACATGGAATTTGTAGTCTCAGAGCAAGTTTAGATTGTTGAATTATCTTTGTTGATAGCTGTGCTACCTCAGTTTGCTCGTTTGCAAACCAAGGATCAGAAATATCTCCAACCCCCTAAGAACATCGTGAAATTAAATGACAAGGTGTTCATGAACTGAGACGTAATAGAAAGCCCTGAAAAAAATAGTACTTACTCTTATTTCTTTTAGTTACCTCAGGTACAGGGCTAATTGTACCTCTTCTCTCCACCAGGCTAGAACAGGGGCTACATGGTCTGGCAACTCTTGAGCTCAAGGCAAGAAAGTGCTAGTGATCGGGAGGGTTTGGCCTGACTGTAGGAACTGTACCAGAGGAACAAACCCTGGAGGCATCACCAGTCTGTGGAGCTATGTATAAGAACCCATGTTAGTAATGGGTTCACTAGATGATGAAATATCATGGGAGACAGTCTTCTAGCTCTGGACAAAGAATGGCTTGGCCCAGAGCATACCTTACTGCCTGTGCTCTTGGTGGAATGTGGGATTTGGCAGTAGCTGTACATATCTCCTTATTATTGACTGTGTCAAATCCCTGCAGAAATGATTTTTGGACAAGGTCATCTTGCATTCAGGGTTGGTTTTCCAGGCTTGCTTGTTATTTTCCCCTGATTTCTTCTCTGTGCTCCTCTTGTACCACCCACCCCATCATTTTCCCCTTCCCCACTCTAATTTGTGCTGCAAACATGTGAGCCATTTTTGCTTTGATATACCAAGTGACACTGATTTGTGTTTATACTGAAGGATTTACTTTTCTAATTAGACCTGAAAGTAAGTTCTGGATATGTATCATTTATTTCTACAGATGAGCAGTCAATACTATTTTATTTATCCACTTAAATTAGAACTCAAACTTTCTCTCTCTCTCTCTCTCTCTCTCTCTCTCTCTCTCTCTCTTTTTTGAGGGGGGGGTGGTGGTACCCAGAAACGAACTCAAGACCTTGCACTTGTGAGGCAGGTGCAGTGCCACTGAGCTAAATCCCTGACCCTTTGTTTTATGTTTCTTCTTCTTCTTCTCCTTCTTCTTCTCCTTCTCCTTCTCCTTCTCCTTCTCCTTCTCTTTCTCCTTCTTCTTCTTCATATAATAATAATAATAATAATTATTATTATTATTATTATTATTATTATTTCAAAAGAATTAGAGATAACTGGTTTGTGGTCAACTCCTGATATATGAGTTTATGCTAGACCTGAGTTATGAACTTTTAAATTATTTATACTTCTGTGGATACAGATGCTAGGGAAAATAGCACAAAATAAACATTGGGATGCCCAAAGATCTCTAAAATGTATGTGTGTATGTGTGTGTGTGTGTGTGTGTGTATACACTCATTCATGTGTGTGAATGTGCACACACATTTGGAAAAGGTAGTTAAGATTTGAGTTTAAGATTGTCATTGTTGTAAATAATGTTATTTCTAAAATCCTTTCTAATGGCTGCTTCCTAGCATGATTCCAATTTTACAGATAGATGGTGGAGGCAGAGATATTTTGTCATTTCTTTGCTATAATTAGGGATTTCAGTCCTTCTCCTTTATACATGGTATAGTACATGTTCAGCTATGGGTATAATTCTGACATCTGAAACTCTTTAAAATGTTTAGTGTAAAATAGAACACCAGAAAATTCTTGTTCATTTTGCCCAAAGTGGCATAATAAAATTTAGTAGTCTGAAGATATGAAACCTACAAGGATATACATGTAATTTTACCTCATTCCTATCTGAAGCTTAATTTGCAACTATTGTGCCATCTAGTCACTTATCATCCACAGTAATGTAAGTGCCAGGCAGCCTTTCCATGTTAGGAGAACTTTAACTTACAAAATGTGTGTGTGAACTATGGAGAACTAAATTTCAGGATACTGTACATTTTGATACCTGTAGGAATCCATAGATCAAGTGTAAGACCTACTTTAACTGATCTGCCCTCCTTGTCATTTCTCCTAGCAACCTGCTGGACATGTTGGACATAGACATGTCTACATCCCTTTCTTCATGTACAATATTCAGCATTTTCATATTACCTATAAGATAGAGACTGATCATCTTAATATGATACACATGCCCCTTTAAAATCAGGCCCTGAATTTGTTTTCATCCTTATAAATAGCTACTCCTCCAGCCACATTGATCTCTAGTTGTTCCCCTGAGCACTCCTTAGTGCTTTTGTCTGTGCTCTCTCCACCCATCTCTGCCTGGTGTAGTCCTCACCATTCTTATAAGCTCTAGGTCAAATGCTACTTTTGATGTAAAGCATTTTCTAACTCCAGCTAGAGAGATTATTGTTTTTTCTCATTTTAGAGCCTCTATTGCAATGCTTACCAGCTTGATATTTTCTAGAATTGTTTGTGGTCATTTATTTCTTCTCTACCAGACAGGGGCAGCACCTGTTTCTTTTATTTCTTTCACCCAGAAACAAAGGGTTAACAGTGGATATCCACTGAATGAATAAATGAATGATGAATATTTTCATAAATTAATTAATTGAAGGTACCATGTTTGAATACTGAAGGTTGTATTCAGGCAGAGCCAAATGCAAGGGAATATACCAGATTATTCTGGCATGAGGATCAAAAAAGAAAGCAAGGTACGGAAGTTTGAGCTTAACAGAGGTTTGGGATGATGAATCATTCATTCAAACAGTGTTGAGTGAGCACTTGACCTTAGAGAGTTTAGCATCCATGACCAGGGAGAAGGAACATCTTTATTTTCTTAGCTTAGTCAGCTTTCCTACCAGTGTAGCTCTGCTATGTGGTTTTGGCCACTGGTGATAAATTCAAGTTTTTCTTCCTTCCCAATAGCCCGTAAGCTGAAGAAACTTGGCAATTTAAAACTACAGGAAGAAGGAGAAGCTTCCAGTGCCAGCAGCCCCACTGAGGAGCCAACCCAGAAGATGACAGTATCACACATTGAAGGCTATGAGTGTCAGCCCATCTTCCTGAATGTCCTAGAAGCCATTGAGCCAGGTGTTGTTTGTGCTGGACATGACAACAACCAACCTGACTCCTTTGCAGCCTTGCTGTCCAGCCTCAATGAACTGGGAGAGAGACAGCTTGTACATGTGGTCAAGTGGGCCAAAGCCTTGCCTGGTAAGAAAAAGGAAAGTGAGTGCATGAGATAAAGGAGAATATGTTTAGTGAACACTCCGAGGGGCCAGGTACCCATTAACTCATGCAATAGTCACTATCACCCTATAGGGAATGAATGGGTAGAGCCCTGACTTCAAACATAAGGGAATTGAAACTCAGAAAGCAAGGACAAAGGCGCATGATAGTATCCTGCATGGCTCATGTTGATGCACTGCAGTCATATTTTCTTGTTCAATCCACAGATTTGTTCAGCAAATTTTCCCACAATTACATATCTTATAAGACATGTTTTATGATGCTCTTCTACATGTGGATACATAGGCTCACCCCTATGTAATCTTGAGTCTCACTGACACTCTTACTCAGGAGCTACACCGTGTGAACTCTTTTTTTTTAAATTTATATATTAATTGGTACATTTTAGGTATACAATACATTTACATTTATCATTGGGTGTTTGTACCTGAACATGATGTATCTTAGTTCTTTTTTTCCCATTACCTGTGCACCCTTCACCCCCACCACCCTTCCCTATTTACAAGTCTTTGTTTCCACTTTCTCATACTTTTTCCTTTCCTTTCTTCCCTTTCCCCTTCCCCTCCTGCCACCCCTCCACCTTTGGACCTTTTCCTATTTCAAATTATCAGTTATTCGTTTTAATCATTTCATCCTTATTTACACTTTCAGTTTCTCACGCCATGTGAACTCTTAAGAGTATGATAGAAAGAATGTGGGGTTGTGAGTCAGAACACTTGAATTCTAGTCTTAGTGCTGTTCATAACTCATTAAATGATCCCTTTCCTTTCTCTGTCTCAGTTTCTCCATCTATGTAATGTGTAAAGGGTGCTTAGGACTAAGCTGGTAGTTTTGAAACTTTGCTTCAAAAATTCCTTAGTGTTATTTAAATTAGGAATCATAATGGGAGGAAAAGGTAAGTGACAGTTGAAAGAATTATCGAGTGTGTGTCCAAGTTCTGCCTGGGTACCTCTGTTGGTGGCAAACTTACTCTCTTCCTAAGCTATCATTTAAACCAGTCTAATTATGAAAACATTACAACTTACAGAAGTTTAGAGAGCCTCTGTCCAAGGATTCACAAACTCCTTCAGCAGCCAAATGCTTTATTTCTCAAAAGCATTGTACATAGATACAAACGTAAGAGGTTGATTTAAAGTCAGTCTTTGACCTGTTCCTTACCAGTTCAGGCTCAGCTTTGTTATTCCGGGTAAACAAACTCCCAGGTTATTCTTGCTGAATATTGTGGCTCCAGGGAACACAGTTTGAAAACCAGTTAAGCATATCCTCTTTAAAGGGTCTTCTAATCCTAAAATTATGTGATTCAAAGATTCTTTTGAAGCATCAGTAACCTATGGAGTCAAAGATTAACCTGCCTTTCTAACAATGATTGCTATTCATGGAAATTTTTAGCGAAAAGTACAGTTTCCTCTTTATTACCTGATTTGATTCTTAGCTAAATGGATGCACATTGTGGCCATACTCTTACATGAAATAAATAGGACACATATGTATAAATACCAAATTGTCTCTCTGGTGTGAGAAACTGAAAGTGTAAAGGAGGACCAAAATGTATAATAGATAATGTGAAATAGGGAGCAAAAATTCAAAGGGGAAGGGGAAGTAGGGGGGAAGGAAGAAGGGAAAAAACATGAGAAAAGAAGGAAAAATGGAAACAAAGCTTTTGTAAATAGGGAGGGGTGGAGGGGTAGAAGGAAGGGAAGGGGAATGGGAAAAAACGAGAACTAAGATAAATCATGTGCAGGTACAAATTCCCAGTGAAGAATGTTATCATAATATATACCTAAAATGTATCAATAAAGTTAATTTTAAAAATCCTATAAAGTAGGAGTTATTTCCCTTATTTTGAAAAGACAAGGAAGTTCTGAGAAGAGATGTTAGTGGCTTATAGTTACACAGCCAGAAAGTGTCAGGCCCAGGTCCCCTCTGAATCTCATCCTCATTCCAATCTACCTATAGTTTGTGGTATCTCACTCATTCTGCAACTCTGAGCTTTACAATGAGTGGCTAAAGTTTCATCAAAAGCCACTTGGGCTATATGATGTTCTTACTACTTTTGAAGATACTGTATATTCGCCATCAAGCCCCTATTTTGTATTTCTAACTTTGTGGCCCAGTTGCGGCCACTAGAACATATCTAACTCTTTCTCAGCTTGGGAAGTTGAAGTTGACTAGCCAATAAGATCACTGGGAAGAAAGCCCAAGGACTCTGGCTGGATATGGACTGTGCCAAAATTGAAAGTTCACACAGGGAGGAAAAAATACAGGGAGGAGAAAAAAAGGAAAAAGAGAAAGCTGTTTTAATTCTTATCACTTGTTCAGCTGGATGTCTTGATGTCACATGTTTGATAGAGATTCAAAGTTCAGTCTTCCAAACAATTTCCAAATATTTCATGTATCTCATTTTATAGGATACAGAGCCTTTTTATATATAGATTCTCAAAACAATTGTAAGAATCATAGTGACTTAGTTCCATTTCACATGACACAGCTGAAAGAGGTTAACTAATTTGTTGGATTGGTCACTTAAAAATGCAACCAGAACTTGAGCTGAGATCCTCTGATTTCTAATTGGGTGGTCTTGACAATAAACTAGTACACATTACTATGGCAGAAATTATATAACTGGAGGTCATTGGATTTCCTCAGCCTAATTCTCATGTTAGATGCTCTTTCCTTATATTAACAAATCTGCAAGAGATAATCAGTTCACCATCTAGCTTGCCAAAGTAAATGATCTCTGACTTTTGAGTAATTTAGAAGAATAGGTTCCAAAGAATTCTGATTACCACATTCATAAGAACTGCTTTTCATATTGTCGGTTATCACCTAGTAGTTCAAGTAATTTGCTCATTCAACAGATTGAGTTCCTGTCCTGTTTGAGACACTGTGATAAGAACCTGGTCAAATGATTTCATTGTAAAGGTTTCTGTGATGGTGATGATATCTGGAAACTGTCTAGTAGGGTACCTGGCATGTTAGTAAATTGTGAATCACCATAAATTGGGGTCAAGCGAGTCAATTATACACAGTATATTCAGAATCAGATGTATTTAGTTTGGGATCCTAGTTTTGCATTGATTGTGTGACCTCAAGCAAATCACATGTCTTCTTTGTGCTTCTCTTTTCTCATTTGTGGAGATAGTAGGACAGTAGATAACTTAAAAATTGTCATCAAAATAGAGATCATATATCAAGAATACATAGTACCTTAACTGAAACGTACTAGGTGGTCTGTAAATGGTGGCTCTTTATTACGAAGCTTGAGTGCAAGGATTGCTTTCACTGAACTACCACATCCCTTGCTTTGAAGCTTATACATGGACCCCAAAGTTGAATTGTCTTCTTTGAGGTCTTTGTCTGGCAGGTACATTATAGTTGCCAAGATTTCCAAAATGCTCCTGCTTTAAGGCTGTTCTTTCAGTCTAGAGATGAGACTACAAGTTTCCATTGCATATTGATAGCAATGAAGTTGCCTGGGTTCTAATGAGAAAACAAAGGAATTGCCTCTGCTCCTTAACTGGCTTGCTGTATTTCAAAACTGAAGAATGACTCCTCTCTATTTCTCCAGAACAGCCTAACACAGTGGCAAATAGGTGTTGAGTGAATGTGTCTAAGAAAATCTGTACCGCTGAGGCTCAAGTCATCCCTTGATAACCATGCTATCTTAGCAGGCTACTTCAAAAGCTGAGCATTAAAAAAAGAGTTAGGTATCATAATCATATTAGACCAATAGGAAAATCAGCTTTCTGTGTTTCTGATGTGTGCACAGTAACTAGGTTTGAGTACTAAGTAGCTCTCACTAAGGAGTGTTAATAAATATTAGACCCACACTAAATTTTCCCTTTTTTACCTCTTTCTCTGAAGTCCTGTGTTGGGGGAACATCCATTTATCCATATGGACATTTTCTTTGATACCCTGACAGCTTACAGCTTAATCCATATCTCTCCATACACCCTGACATTCACATACCACCCCAGTATCTATCTCTCTACCTCTCTCCTCTCTCCCCCCCCATCTCTCTGTCTGTCTTTACTGACCATTGTTTCCCATCCAAGAGGTTTAGGGTTTAAACTCCCAGGCCATTTCCCCCAAAGGATTCTTAAATGTTGCTGTGCTTCTTGTCTCCTACTGGGAAGGATCAGTCACAGACATTTTATGCCATAAAAGTATAAAGGGGTTCTAGGAATGAGACACTCCATAAGGTGTAATGAGAAAGTAGGAGAAGAATCATTAAGCCTTCTGCTGATATATGTATTTGAAAAGACTTCACAGAGGATGTGGTCTTTGAGTAAAGTTTTGAAAGATGACTGGTGTTTATCAGATGGAAGTCTGAGTAGAGGAAATACATTCTAGGCAAAGGCAACAGTTTGTGCAGAGATAGCAAAACTCTCCTGGACTGGGAAAACGTGAAATGTTCAGCAAATTCTAAGTTTTTCAGTATGGCTGGAATGTAAATTATCAAAAAGCAAGCAGTAAGAAATTAGTCTAGGGAGGCAGGGCATAAAGGGTTTGTTTGTGTCTAAGGGTAGGGAGGAGATGGCAGAAGGGTAGGAAACTAGCAGAACCAGGGTTCCTGTTAAGAAGAAAAGAATGGAGAGGATGTGTGGGGCAGAAAGCAGGTCAGAGAAAAGAGAGCTTGCATGTGGTGTGGAAAAGCGGTGGCTGTCAGAGCACAGTCCCCCATATGTTGTTATGTAATTATGTGTTATTACAAAAGTCAAATCAGATTATGGCTATAAGAGAGCTTTGTAATGTGAGAATTGTTGTCTGTGTGGAAGAACTGGTTATTACGCTGAATCTTCAGAAAGGTGTAGTGATCAAGAGCATGAGTTTTGGAGTTTGTTTGGGTTTTTGGAATTTGGTCTGCCAATTACTAGCCATATAATCTTGGACATGTTCCTTAACCTCTCTGTGATTCACTTCTACTGATCACAGAATGGGGATAGAAAGAGTACCAATTTTATTTATTGTTGTGAGGATTCAATGAGGTAATATAAGTAAACACCTTAGAAAGAAGTTAATTCATTGTAAGCAATTAGCATTAGATTATTATTCTCTTGCAACTAACAATACCATTTTTGCCTCCATTATTTCATTTGATCAGCTCAGTGAGGTAGGGAGGCCAAAGAATATTAACCCTACAATACAGTTTGATTTTTTTCTCCTATCCCTCATCAGCCAGCCCTGATGGTCCCTGTGGTTCCTCAGGCCCTACTGAGTGCTAAAGAGCCTCATCTCAGCCGAGACCCAGTCTTAGCTCAGCACATCAATGCTTGGATTGATGACCATGTCTATTCCTTCTTCTTTAGGCTTCCGCAACTTGCATGTGGATGACCAGATGGCAGTCATTCAGTACTCTTGGATGGGACTCATGGTGTTCGCCATGGGCTGGCGGTCCTTCACCAATGTGAACTCCAGAATGCTCTACTTTGCACCTGACCTGGTTTTCAATGAGTAAGTGCTCTTGGGACCAGATCTCCATAAATACAGCAGCTTGGAAAGATGTGGTCGGAGGTGGTGGTGATGGAGCTGACAGTAGAAATTAGTGCTTTTGGCCTGTAGGTGAGGCACTGGAGGCCTTAGCCAATCAGCCCAGGCTGAGGTGGCTTTGCCTGGCTCAAAAGCCAACTGGTGGGAGTTAGTTGTTGGTAGTTATAAGGCTATCCCTTTTCTACCCAAGACCCAATCCTAGTATTTTGCCAATTTCTCACTTGCTTTGTAACCTATCCAGAATGTCATATAAATGTCCCTTCTCTTCACTGAGCAGTATACACAAGGAGCAGAAAGACTCTAGTTGTGAGGACTGATGTTCCTTTGGTCTCTTTGATGCCACTGAGGGCTGCCATTAATCAACATTTATTGAACAACTACTTTATGTCAGGACTATACTAGATACTTCCTAAATCCTGTCTCATGGACTCCTTGTGGCAACCTGATCTCCCTAAAAGACAGTTTTATTTTTATGAATAGCAGAAGTCAGACTCAGCAAATAAAGTAACTCTGCCCTGCCATTCCCCTTTTCTTAAACAGGTTTAATTCATACCTGCACTGCTACAAGCCCTATTTGTCCTTCATGAATTGGTTTGTCTAACTTGCCTGATTCTCACTTTTATAATCTGTTGATAATAATAGAAGTTTCTTAAATGGTTTGTTATAACAAAATGAGAATTGATGGACATGGAGAATCTGGCCTATGGTAGGCTGGAAATAATAATAAAAAAGAAATCCCTTCCTGATTCCTCTTTTTCCTAATAGTGATAGTCTTCTCTGTGCCATCTGTCTGAGATGCCTCAATGGAATCGTGAATGCAGCTGACCAGAATAACCTTCCCAAGAACCTTGAGCTAGTTTCACCACAGAGAATCCTTTTGGTCAGGGCAGGAATTCAACTTTCCTCCTCTTCAGCCCTTTAGCACAGAACAGCCTTAAACAAAACCTACAGGTCAGTGCTTCCTTAAACTACTGCTGTGCCAGGCAAGGGAGTCAGTGTCCCCAGCTGCCCCTTGTCAACCCTGCCAGCCTTGTTAGCCAGAAGCTATGAATAGCCACTGGGCTTGTGGCATGACCTGCTTTGTGGTTTCTAAATCTCCAAAGTCTTACCCATGATGCCATCTTCTGGGGCAGACCTTGAAAAGCCCCCCTAACTGTTCATCTCCCCCTTCGAAGCCTTCAGTGACCTTGAGTGATTGGATCAACTGCCTGAGCACTTGCTCCATCTTCTCTCCATCCCTGAGACCTTTGAGGTTTTCAAGGTGATAATTCGTTATCTTCTAAATCCTTATTTCTTTCTATGTCTCTGAGTAAGCATATGGCACTCTACCTTGCTACTTCAACTTTTTCGATTGGTCCCATTCATCTCATCAATAGGTGCCACAGGATTCCTCACAGTGTTAGGGACCTACCAAGCCTCATGGGTCCTGAAACAACAAGCAACCTTCCACTTTCAAGAACTCACTATATTAGAACTCTCAGAGTTCTTGCAAATGTGTAAACTAGTGTTTCAAAAATGAGCTGCTGTTGACATTTGGGGAGGAGGAATTTTTCATTGTGCAAGATATACTGGAATATGTTTAGCATCCCTAGCACTTGCCCACTATGTAGGATTCCAGTCAGTCTGCAGCCCAAACTTCACACACACATTTCTAATAGCCACTACAGAGGCAGTACTCACAAAATGAGAGTTACTAATAGGTATTAGACTCCTCAAAGTGCTAATGGGGTCATTGAAGCCCAAAGAGAGATATAAAGACTGGTCCAAGTCAGGCCAACCCATGTGCTGTTCTTCCTGACACCAAACCCTGTCATCAGCCCTGTTGTATTATTTACTTCCCTTTTTGTAAAGAACACATGTTTTGAGGATAATGGGCTTGAATCCTAACTGACCTTGGGGAAATTACTTCTTAGAACTTCAATTCTCATCTGTAGAAAAGTGAATAGTATCATAATAACACCTTCTTCCGTGTCATTTACTGAGCACTTACTATGTGCTAGGAACTCTGCTCAAGTGTTTTCCAATCTTCTTTCTCCTTAGTCATTCTTGTTAATTTCTACATGCCTCTGCCATTCTCCTAAATTTTTTCCTGCTCCTCCTTTTCTACCCTCCATTTTCCTTCCCCTTTCCTTCCTTTAACTCTCTGGAGACTCTTTTTGACTGTTCTCCCTCCTTCTTGGTCCCTTATCCGATGAATTCTTTCCCTTATCTTTCCCCTCTCCTCTCCACCCCTTACCTTCCCTGTCTCAGGTGCTTGCCACAGTATTCTAGGAATCCTCCATACCAGAGCCCTGATTTCAATAGTAAGAAGACTGCAGTGTCCTCACAAACAGAGGCATGGAAATACAATGGAGGCCAGAGTAAGGTCATGTTTTCCAAGTCAGCAGATCCTACTCAAAAATTCTATAAATAATGTGAAATAGGAAGAAAAGGTCCAAAGGGGAAGTGGGAGGGGTAGGAGAAAGGAAAGAAGGGAAAAGAATGAATATAAGAAAAGGAAAAACCAGAAACAAAGTCTTTGTAAATAGGGAAGGGTGGAGGGGTTGAAAGGAGGGCAGGGGAATGGGGAAAAAAATAAGAACCGAGATATATCATGTAAAGATCCAAATTTCCAATGATGAAAGACATTTTGTATACCTAAAATGTCCCAATAAACTTAATGAGTAAAAAAAAATTCTATAGAGTTGAAAGAGCTGAGGGCACCACTGTTCTTGTCAGCTGACTTGTGATACCATGTAAACACTTCCCCATTTCAGTTGGAATTCAGTATGAACTGAGTAATTCTACACTATCTGCCCCCTTCTGTCTTTCTCCAGGAAAGCCAAGACTTCCCTGAGTTAGATTGCCAAGCTTCCACCCAGACAGTGCCAGGCCTACTCAGCCTGTGGACCAGGCTAGTGGCTTGAGAAGCACAATGTCAAACCACAACATTTAGACTCTATCTGGGAGGTCTTTGTCCTCACCTCTAAGTGAGTGCGAAATTCCCTTTCTTTTCTTCGTATGCTACTCAATCAGTTGATGTCTTACACATACACACACTCTTGATTTCTGAATTGATGAAAACTGAAAAGCCAACTAGTGAGAATATGCTGTGTCTTCTCTTAGAGGTATTCTATGACCATACATGGATCAGAGTGTCTGCTCCCCTACACCAAAGCTATCTAAGCCTTGGCAACTTCCCCATATAATTTATTTGTGGCAATGTGATGATCTATTCACAAGTCACTATAATAAAAGCTGCTCACATACGTTTTAGCTCTCAAAGCTGTTGTAAAGAACAGCTAGTCTTTGAGGGAATGGGCTCCCCTTTAGCAGGGGATATTTAAATCAGACATTCAAACACACTCCCTGGCACATTTGGAAGCATTGGAACTTACTTTGAAAGGACAATGTAAAATCTCCATGGCTGGGAGTTTTTAAAGAAATGATTAAATTTCTAGTAAGATAAATAGCTTTCAAACCAAGAGGCAGGCAGGGGTGTTGACAGGATAAACACCTGTGGTTACTTGCAAATCCTGGTGTTGAGCTGATTGCTGAGTCTTCTGTCCTAGATATGCTCCAAGTTAGGCTGCCTGGGAGGCAGATTCTGGCTCTAACTGTAGTGAAGATACTAGAACTATAGCCAGGGAGACCATGTGCCTGCCCCATTGTGTTCATTTGGTTATGCTTTCCTGTCTCTGTCTCAGGAAACAGAAGGGGCACAGAGAGGTGGAAATTCCATGTACTAACCCATATCCTGGCCAAGGAAGATGAGCAGTTATCAGGGTGTCAGTATTTGTGGGGGAGGGAGCACCTTGTTCCTTGTCACTGAAGCACCGGCAGGAGAAATAGAAAACTTTTCTTGTAGGACTTAGGGAAGGAGGAAAAACAGAGAAATTTCCTCTGAGCTTGTTGGAAGCCTCCCCTCATTCCTCTTCTTCCGCTGTGTCTTTTTCCCAGGTACCGCATGCACAAGTCCCGGATGTACAGCCAATGTGTCCGAATGAGGCATCTCTCTCAAGAGTTTGGATGGCTCCAAATCACACCCCAGGAATTCCTGTGCATGAAAGCACTGCTACTCTTCAGCATTAGTAAGTGCCTAGAGTCACAGGGAATGTCCCTGGGGGCACAGAGGCTCAGAGGAGTACACTTTCTTTTTTTTAATTTATGTATTAATTGGTACATTTTAGGTACATTTATCATTGGGTGTTTGTACCTGAACATGATGTATCTTAGTTCTTATTTTTCCCCCATTACCTATGCGCCCTTCACCCGCACCACCCTTCCCTATTTACATAGACTTTGTTTCCATTTTTTTTCTTTCTCATAATTTTTCCTTTCCTTTCTTCCCTTTCCCCTTCCCCTTCTGTGTAAATAAGGATGAAAATGATTAAAATGAAAAATTGATAATTTGAAATAGGAAAAGGTCCAAAGGGGTAGGGGTGGCGTACACTTTCTCTTTAAAAATATTATCAAGGAGAAGCCAGCCTCTGAACATTTCCCTTCTTCTTTCCTCCCTCCACTTTACCTCAGCATGCTTTTTCTTAACAAAGACCAATTTCATGCCCAGAGATCAATCAATTTATTTGGTTCAATCCAGTCTCCATCAGATTCTCATCAAATCCCAATCTCTCTTTTGAGACTAGGCCTTTTTGGCTGATTGTAGCAAGCATTTGAATTTTTCCACAGCTTCTGCTACAGAAATAGACATGAGCCACTTTGTATTTCTTGCATAGCTGTAGACAGGAGGAATTGACTCCTGGAAGGCATTTCCCCTTCTACCAACAGGAGGAGGTCTATGTAAGCAACTCTTAGACAGAGCTGTTTTGGCAGCCAAGCTAGTTTCTTTAATGTCTCCTCTAAGCTAGAATGCCTCATCTCTGTGAGGAAGAAAGAAGGCAAAGTTTAATATCCAAAGCTATGTGTTTTAATTGTTCAAATCAGAGCTAGATGGCAAACAACATAAAACCTTAGTTCCTAAGAAGTGAGTACATGAGAATACTAGAAAAAGGAAAGGCTTAGTAAATTTTGTTTATTTGACCTCCTTCAGATTGGATACAGCTATGCTTTTCCCTGTGAGCTTCCTGGCAAACTGAAGGGCCCAGGCCCACAGACTTCAACTGACAGGAAGCCAAGATTTTTCCCTCCCTGTGGGGGTGGGGGGGTCAAATTTGTGGTCAGAAAACTTGGTGCTTTGTCTAATGCTCCTTTGTGGGCATGCTTCCCCTATGCATTCTGTCTTCATCCCACATCAGTTCCAGTGGATGGGCTGAAAAATCAAAAATTCTTTGATGAACTTCGAATGAACTACATCAAGGAACTCGATCGTATCATTGCATGCAAAAGAAAAAATCCCACATCCTGCTCAAGGCGCTTCTACCAGCTCACAAAGCTCCTGGACTCTGTGCAGCCTGTAAGCAAATGATGGAGGGTATCATCTCTGGGGGACAAGGGCCAAACACTCAGTTTGTCTTTATCAGAGAGAGCAACCTGATAAGAGACAAATGATAATAACACTTCTCTAGGGTCTGGCACCACCTGTTGGGAGGTGTTTCCAACTCCTCTGGCTTTGAGTGTGGTCCAGGAAGAAAATGCAATGGAAAAGAAAGGAACACAGGTCACAGTGTCCCAGCTGGCTGTTGTGAAAGGGGTGGAGAAGTTGAGAACAAAGCAGTTGGGACTCAGGGAAAAGTTTAAAGCCCATGAGTCCTCTAGACAGACAAAACAGACCTGAGTATTTTTCTTTTCCTCTTTCCTGAGTGGTGTGTATGTGAGTTTGCCTCTATGTGTGCATGTTCATGGCTACCTGTGTGTATGTGTATGTGTGTCAGAGAGTGTGTGTGTGTGTGTGTGTGTGTGTGTGTGTGAGAGTGTGTGTGTGTGTGTGTGTGTGAGAGAGAGAGAGAGAGAGAGAGAGAGAGAGAGAGAGAGAGAGAGAGAGAATCAGTGGTGAAGAGAAATGCCCAGTCCTGCCTGAATCAGAGACTTTGCAATGGTGTAAGAGATCTATTAGGAGCCCTCAATGATTTCCTAGAGACCATTTCATTCACACACACACACACACACACACACACACACACACACCCCTCTTACAAGGCAGAACTAAGACTAGGCAAGGGGACAAAATGCTAAAAGGACTGGAAATCAGAGGTGGGGAGGAGTCTAGCAGAAGTCATCTCCTTGTGAACTATGTTTTCTTTCTCTTTTACTGTCCCCTACAGATTGCAAGAGAGCTACATCAGTTCACTTTTGACCTGCTAATCAAGTCCCACATGGTGAGCGTGGACTTTCCGGAAATGATGGCAGAGATCATCTCTGTGCAAGTGCCCAAGATCCTTTCTGGGAAAGTCAAGCCCATCTATTTCCACACACAGTGAAGCTTTGGAAGTCCTCATTTCCCTAGCCCAGCCTATCCCTTTTCAGCTGTCTTCTGCCTGTTATAACTCTGCACTACTTCTCTGCAGTGCCTTGGGGAATTTCCTCTATTGATGTATAGTCTGTCATGAACATGTTCCTGAGTTCTATTTGCTGGGCTTTTTTCTCTTTTCCTCTTTTCTTTTTCTTCTTCCCACTCTAACTTCCCTCTCTAACTCATCCTCAGACTCTGCTCTCTGTTGTGGCTCCTATCTGTGTTTTGAATGGTGACATATTTCTTTAAATCTGTGATGATCCTCATGTGGCCCAGTGTCAAGTTGGGCTTGTTTACAGCACTCCAGTGTATGCCAGCCACACTAACATTTACTTACCTTATGTCACTGGAAGTTTAGAGAGTTTAGAGAGCTAAAACTATCCAGGAAAAACAAACTCAAACAAACAAGAGACAACAACCAAAAACGTCAAAAACTTGCCAGGGCTTTTTATTAAATAAATAACAAATAGAAATCCTCAAAGAAGCCAGCAGTGACTAGAAACAAATGAAAATTGCAGGTCCATGAGGAGTCAGTTTTTGTTCATCCTCTTCCTAGACTCTATTTTTGCAAAGGTTATTGCCATGAGAGGACAGGGCAACCCCAGAGCTGAGATGGGGAGCCCGAAAGAGGGGAAGACAAGGAGGGAAAATGTATCACCAATACTTACCCACAGGCTTGGCTCCTGAGGGCTACACTGCTCAACTGTAGTGCAATTCCTTGTATTGAAAATGTGTTTCTTATTTGAAAATTTGTCTGCATGTGAATGTCTCCCCGCTCAAGGCCTTTTCGTTCTCAATCTCTGCCTCCATCCTCAAATTGACTTTCAGTAGCTTTCTAATACCTTTGAAATGAATATTCTTTTTAGACAAAACTTGGCCACTTCCACTGAAGAGTCAGATCAGGAAGACAAAGGAGAGGAGAAATCTGACACTTTGTGAGGCTCCATTCAGATCCAATCTAGTTTCCAATGCGTGATCCAGGGAGGAGCTTGGAGCTAAAGTCAGAGGAGAAGGAGATGATGGTTTGGTTGTTCTACTACTTAGGAAGCTGAATAGTTGACTTATCAATACCACCACCTTTTCCTCACCTTTAAATGACCTATATACTCCATATGGCCATAAGCTTCTTCCACCCTCCCTTCAGTTTTTTGTGGGCCACACTGTATTTCAGACATGATGACACAGATTGTTTACTTCTTTGAGCATATTCAAAAACTCTCTGCTAAAATTTTGCCCACTATGAAGGCTATCAGGCCAGTAGTCCTGGCATCTAACTCTAGATTCTAATAGTCTCAAAGCTTTCTTACCAAATGTGTCTAATCAATAGTCAGATTGCTGGAGCCCTTAGAAAAACTGGAAAGAGGGCATCAAAGAGATCAGAAAAATCAGGCATCTGCCCCTTGCCTTCCAGAGATGACACGCTCTCATAAGTGGATAAATGTTCACTCCCTTCTCCAAAGCAGGTAAAGCAGCTACCCAGATTAGGGCAGAAGAGAAAACTCAATAACCAAGATTGGAAGAATGATGACCCTAGAACCAGAAATCCTGAAATGCTCTCCTTGCCATCCAGCATATCCACCCACAGAAGCCATGAGAAGAAAGAACATAGAGAAGACTTGTTTAACTATTGTCTTCAGAGGCAAAGACTAAAGCCAGATGGGCATCAACTGGCTAGATGGGTACTAGTTTACTCATCCTCCTCCTCTCTGCTGATTCTGGGCTCTGACACTGACCATTCTCACTTAGATTTTCCATGATTATTGCTGCCTCTCGGAGGAGAGCTGGACCACAGAACCATGGCTTCCTTTGGAACTGTCTGGCTGGTGTGACTGTGACTCGCTGCCACCCATAAACTTAGGGTATGCTCCTGGGTCACTGATTTCATATAGTCCCTTGGCACACCTCTGTTCTTTGGATTTTGTTCCCCAACCCCAGGTGCAGGGCAGAATGTTCATGTACTTCCTGATCTTGGCTACTGCTTTCTCCCATAGTTCTTCATCTATTAAACTCAAGAAATCACAGGCCAGTCACCAAGCTGCCCCTTTCAGCTGGTTTACTCTACTTGTTGAGAAGACAGTTTCTGAGTGACATGACATAATCCACATGAATTCCCTTCCCTGATTTCTGTATTGATATTAATAGCCAAATGAACTTGCAAAACAGCTTCTTTAAATAACAAGGGAGAGGGAAAACCAAAATGGGTGATATGACAATCCAAGATTGCTGAACAAAACTAAAGTTGATGGGTTTCCTTTCTGGGGTTGGATAGAGTTTGGTTTTCTTTGTGATGGAATCATCTTGCTTAATTACAGGATCACTGTTAGCTGTTTTAAACAAAAAAAAATATAGCACTTTTCAGTTAAACTAGGTTGTATATTAATAGTTCTTTTACATCTGTTTTGAAACAGTTTTCATCTTGTGGGACACGGATTAGATTATATCATTCTAATACCTCTCCTTGTAAATACTATAGGCCCCACTTTTCAATTCACTATCAAATTTTTTTATCTTTATGGATTTCTCAATCATGAGTCTTGTCTTTATGAATATATATGTTTTTTCATTAAAAGCCAAAAAACTGGTGAGCAGCAGTGTAATGAAAAGCAGCAACAACTGGATCACTACAAATTTCCAAGTCACAAAACTAAGGATAAACAGCCTAAACAGGGCTTTAGATCTACTGCTTCTGCCTTGGGATTTGAGTGAGCAAAGGAGGTTTTAGCTTGGCTCTGTTTTCTCACAGATGAAAAGAAGGTGATTTTTTTTTTCTTTTGGCCATTGATGATCCAGCCAGTACACTTCACAGAAGTCTTATTTGCCCATGTACTCTGCTGTATGAACAGAGTTGATTTTTGGTATACTGTGCTCAGCAGTGAAAGACTGGCCACCCATGCCCACTAACCTGTTGATCTGGATGATGAAGATCACTCACTGGAAAAGCCAAGAGGACCATTGCCAAAGAGGTCTGCAGTGCTCGGTGGGGATGGAGAGTAAGAGAAGAGAAAAGGAGCAACATAGAGAAGGTCCCATCTGGGCAGAGACAGCTCCTAAGGTCACCAACTCTGGTCAAAGCAAAGAGTCCAGTCATATGTGGCACTTTCAGCTCTATTCATTAGGCAGTTCACTGAATCTGGCTTCTGAACTAGGATGGGGTTACATTCTTTGTTCTATAAATTTTCTATGCTACGGGCAATATTGTTTTTCTTGGAAAGTTCATTTTTTTAAAAAATTACCTTACTTTGAGAAAGGAATTTTTTGAAGGATTCTATCATATATCTTTGGAAAAAATCAGTAATATGTATATTTTTATGTATGTTCACTGGCATTTAAAAAAAGGAAAAAAGAGCTTAGCTCTGTTCTCTGTCCTTTGGGTAGTTGCTGAGGTTAATTGTCTGGGCTGAGAAAAGATGTTCTGATGCTTGAGTCCCTCTCTGTCCATACTCTATTTCTATATGTATGTAGATATATATAACAAAATGTATTTGACTTGTATTTTAAAATATGTCCACTGTTCACATGATACTGATACTACACAAGTGACCTGACTTTGAGCTTCAAGTAGCTTTTGAGTGTTTGTTTCATTAGGCACAGCACATATGTGGCCTTGTATCCTTCTTTCCCTTGATATGAAGCAGGGCACAAAGGCCCAAGTAACCCTCCCCCACTCCTTCCTAGCCCTGTGCCAGCACTGCTCTTCAGGAGACTCTCCAGATTCCCCAGTAACTCTCCCTGCATGACCCCCACAAAATTGTGGAAAAATAAGGGGCTGAGTACCGATTCTGTTACCCCAATTTTCCAAGTGAAAGGACACTTGGCCAAGAGCATGGTTTTTATGATTGACCCTTAGTAAGAAGTCACAGGAAACAAGCATGCTAAAACACCAGATCAAATCCAGATTTAACTCCAAAAGAAGCCATTTAGCAATGTGAAATTTCTTGGAAAAGGGAGTTTCTAGCGCCACTGCCTTTATCTATTCTCACTGCTGATCTCTTTGAAAATCTTTGAAACCAGTTTTTTTTTAAAGACAGACAAAGTGATGAAAGCATCACAGTATGTAACCAAAGATTAAATTGTATCTAAGATACCAAAATTTTTAAGGGCAGGGAGGGAGTAAGTATTAGTGCCTCTTTGGTAAGCTTTCCAAAGACAGACTAAAGAACTTTGCTGGTGACTGAATTATAAGAGTTCTACGGGGGTTTCCACCCTCACAATATTCATTTTTAGAATTGAAGATAATTTGGAAAATGGGATTATGGGTTCTTCACTAAGTGATTTTATAAACAGAACTAGCTTTCCTTTTGTCTAGTAGTTGCTGAGCAAATTCTTGAAGCTCCATCACTGCATGGTTGAAAATGGAGCCTGTCTTGGCCGCTGTGTTTGCTAGTGCCCATGTTACCTTATCTAAAGATGTGAAACTTTTGCTGAGAAGGGGAGCATTTAAAGGACTAGATTCTGCACTAGAAGGACAACAGGCAGAAATTCTTATTTCTGGCCAGTTTGGACAGCACAAAAAGTTCTCTGCAGTTTAAGGCAGAAGGTAGAAATATACTGTAAATGAGTATTTGTATCCATGTTTTAAAAACTGAATTATATATAGGTATAATGTGTTCTAAAGCGTTATCTTTCTCTGCACCTTTATATTTGGTTCATGGTCATATCTGATGCCTTGTACTTGTACGAGAGGCTGCAGTTACATTAAGGAAACTCTCTCAGAATGAACAAGACACCTGGATTGATCAGATAACAAAGAGATTTTTGCCCCTCTTGGGCCTGATACACAGGCCTTAAAAAGGGATAGGAGGGGGAAAAGGGTAGGGTACATGTTGTATTGCACTTTACTAGTCTAAGACAGATGAATGTGGAAAGGGTGGTGAAGACTCTGGAACTGGCTGGAATTTACCATAGAGAAGAGCCAGACTTGGGGCCAAAAGCTCACCCAAATGATTGGCCAGTGTCCTCTAAATGGTACCTCAGCTATTGGAAGAAGAAGGAGAAGCCATATTCCTTGTTCTTCACCATTCTTGTGAGAGAAGGGCAGTTACCTGCACTTGGGAACCTGGAGCAAGTGCTCCACCTTTCACACCAATTCTCTCCTCTGTGATTGAGGTGCTCTTGCTACTGGGTGTCTGTATGTTCTAATTCTGCTTTTGGATGTGTTTTGTAAAGATTTGAAAATTGAAAATGTGTTTTTCTCTGTTAAAACTTATCAGTGTACTAGAAGTTGTATCTTGGTAGGTACATGTCCATCTCTGCCCAAGGGTAAAGATATTTTTCTTCAGTAAAGAGCTTGACACTGGGGTCTGTTGCCCAGGGCCTCCCAACCTCAACCATTTCTAGGTGAAGGCAGAAAAATCCACATTAGTCACTTCTCTTCAATCACTTAAGGTAAGATAACAAATCATTTGGAATTCCCCTACTCGGCAAAAGAGTGGTAGATATTTGAATTTAGTAGGTGGAATTTTACAGTAAAATGCAGCTTTAATTTGATTACATTCAATTTGACCTGTAAGTAGGTAATATGTGATTATTTTGCAGTCCTAATTCATTATAACAGGGCTTCAGTTTCTTTTCCTTGCCCCATTTATCTCCTAGTCTTTTGTGGAATTAAATAAAAATTTGTAGAATGGGTGGCCCTTGTGGCCTGCAAAAGTTCCCCCACAAACTACTTAGCAAAACCATCATGTAGCTACACTTTCCATTGACCACTGAAAACTAGAACAAACATATGCATACTCCAAAGGATAGATAATACTGAAATGTTGCTGCTTCTCCCATGGCACCCTCCTTGGCTGACTGCTTCCTTACAGTTTGGGATTCTATACTGTGCATAATAGACAAGCCTGGCTTGTAGTCTCACAACCTCACCCCTCATTGCTAGCTGTCCTTCAGTGAAGTGCCTATGGTGTTGTCCTATTCCTTTAGCCAAATGGGTCCTGAGAGCAGTCACAATTAGGATGCTGCAAATCAAAAATAAATAAATGCATAAAAGTCCCTTCACTACCTACTGACACCTTTCTGCTTTCCACTAGACTGGACATTGATTCAGGAGTGCCTTGGATATAACATTCTTGTGCTGTCCTTGAGATTAATTTGGCAGCAGGAGGAAGAAGATTATGTAACCAGAGATAAGAACTCATTTTTTGATGTTGAGAGAAAAAGCATTATTGAAAAAATTTTAAAAGAAACAATTTAGCTTGAAACTTCTTTCGATGGGGCCTTGGTTCTCACAGTGACTCTTGGCATCCACTGGGCAGCAGGACCAGCCCCAAGCGCTAGTGTTCTGTGCTCTTTTTGTAGTCTTGAAATTTTTGTTGCTCTAAATATAATTAAAATGGCAGAAACTCATTTGTTGGAATACATGTGTGACTCTGTGTTTGTCTCTGTATCTGCTTTCAGAAATATCCATTGTGTACAATACTGGCCTGTTGATCTGCCAACTAAAACTTGGCTGCAGCCCCTGTTGTGGGTGCAGGCTCAAGTTATTGGTAACAGAGACCCTACAAAAGCTGGTAATGTCCTCTTATCACCATTGTTAATTTGTTAAAACATAAAACAATCTACAATTTCAGATGAATGTCATCAGTACTTTTAATTAACCCATTTTATTGGCTGCTTTTATTGAAATTAACTGTTGATATCATGGTCAGTAGCCTTTTATGGTACCTTTCTTCTCACATATTTTAAAAAATCATTGTACAGAAGTTATACATCTGACCTGTGTTGGACTTGGGTTAACCTGGGAACACTGAAATACAAAGGACCTGGGTTAGAACACACAGATGGATATTAACAACTCATCACAACCTTTCACAAGAAACTCTAAGCTTGTCAACCAGGGGAAACCACACAAAGCTCAGCTGCTCACCCTGATATCATCATACTTGCAGAAGTATAAAATGGTAGCATCACTGCCTGGTTTGAACCAAGCTGCAGGGAAAGAATCGGCACATTCATATCTTCACTGTTTTTCAAGTGCCATACCATCCTCAAGTATGCAGACAAAATCCAAACCAACCTTCTTTTTGGTTCTTAAATTCAAACAAAGTCCTTTCCTGTGGCCTTTGGATGTGAATGCTTATGAGATCCCAAATTGGATTTCTGGGCTTGAGGTACTGGCCATTGATGAGGCGTTAGAGGTGTCATGATGAATAATTTAAAAAGTTCTCTATTTCTCAATGTCATCACCTGTAAGGTGTTGCTGCAGTGCCTCCCTCCTGGGCTGAGTTGGTAATTCAGTGAGAACATATGTGATGCAGCTTGTGCACTATTTGCTTTGGCTTTGTTCCCTGTTAAAATGCCAGAACCCCTGAGAGAGATCCCACATTGAGCCATATTTATCAATCACCACCTCTGAGTGCATGGATTTCTCAGACTTTTCCTGAGATCAGATTATTGAGATGTGCATCTGTGTGTCTAGGAAGAGAAAAAGACTATGTGTGCTCATAGGTTTTGTACAGAGGAGTTCCCAAACCACCATTGTTTAGGTGTTCTTCCTTTGCATCTACTGAGAATGACCTAAGGACCATCCTATTTGGCTTCACTCACTGCTCAGTTCCTGCCTAAAGAGGCAAGGTGGTTAGCATTCACCATAGGTTTTCCAAGAAGTAGCAAAGCACAGAAGTTAAGGGACCACAGGATACATAATAAGTTGTAAAGATCCTAGAGGCTGGAGTCTTATATGTGACAGGGTCATGAAACTAGTAAGTAGCCAGGATTCTGGTCTACTGATTTTCTGTATGACAATAGGCAGAGCTCTGCCCTTTTCTGGACCTCAAGTTTTGTATATAAAATATGTATTGGAAGGTATAGAGAACACATCCAGTGTGGTGGGTACCATGGTACTGAAAACTACAACAATACTTTTCTTAATGATGACCTAAGAAGAAAAAGGACTTTTGCTACCCCTGGAACACAATTTTGGAGCTAGAATTCCCATATTTGTGCTCAACAAACTTTTGCAGAACAAGTGGAGGCAGAGAATCAAAACAACATTGAGTCTTGTGCAACAGACAGCTTCAGTTCCTTCATGGATGGAGAAAGGGCTTAAACATGAAATAATTTGTGTGTCTCCCAGATAGCAAAGATAAGTAAGAGTTAATAAGTCCATTCCATGTATTTTCTATGGCTTCCTTGTGTTCAATCTATTAATTCACTTGGCTGAACTAGCCTGGGACTTCAACCTATCATGCCCATCCTCAACCCTCCCATATTATTCCCTCTGAAGATTGGGCTAACCTTTGATTCATAATTGCTACATTTAGAGCTCAAAGGAATCATAGACATTGTCTAGCCCAAACATCTCATACATCACATGAGAAAGCTTGGCCAAAATGCTGACTGAATATTATTGTGAACTAAGACCTGTTGCAAGGGGCCAGGCCTAAAACACCAATTTCATGGCCCCTTCATGTACATACAGGCAGCCTGCCAAGGTGGTAGAATATCACAGCATCTACCATTCCTGTTCATGCTGGTTCAGAGCCTTGATGAGAGAGCCTCCACCTGTTTTCGTGTGGCCCCCATGTACACTGATTAAGAATTCACCCCAACCACAGAAACTTCTTCACCTTCCACCCACTCACAATTGTTTTCTACATGTCACTCGGGTGTGGTGAGAGAGGCAAAGAGGTGTTGTGGGAGCCACAATAGGAACTGCAGAAGCAATGAAAGACATTTAAAAGACACTGAGGTATACGAAGTTTGTTTTCTGAATTAAGAGGTATATGTAGACTATATAAATCTTCAGGTTATCCCTGCTACTATTTTTTTTCAGGCCACAACTTCCCTTCTTCTGTTAGCTTCTTCTGAATAGCTTTAAAGGAGAGATAATTTGGGGGACTTGGTCCAGATTTCCACCAGCAAAGCTGTATATGGAACTAACTGCTTTAAGTCAAGCTAAGAAAACAGCCCTTCCCACGTGCCCACTGGAGTCTCAGAATAGAAAACATGACAGCAGAGCAGGCAGATGTGAGCGGCACATCCTCCTCCATGTGGGCAATGACACTTATCCCCAAAGGAAGCAAGTCTTTTTGCTGTGTGCACATAGTGGTAAGGGTGACTAATGTCAGAGTTGAACAACCATTATAAAAGAATCCTATTGCCTCAAGAGACTGTAGATACCACTCACCTCACAGGGGCCCAGTATCTAGTGCTTCACTCATTCATTTGTTCTTTTCCTTGTTCAACAATTATCTATTTGTGCAACAATTCGGTGCCCCCATACAAGAATAAGACAGGCATGGTATTTACCCTGATGGATTTCCTAGTCTACTGGGTGGAGACAAAGACACAGAAAATTATAATACCACATAGTGGGTGCTATGACAAAGGATGCTCAGAGTTATTAGAGTCCCACAGAAGAAGGATGCCTACCCACCCTCTTTTGAAAGACCAGGAAGAGCTTCTTATAGAAACCTAGGTTGTGACCCAAGTTAAATGAAGGTGAGGCTTGAGGTGGAGAAGAGGGCATTCTTCCTCAGGTGAAAAACAGCAGCCTTGTAAGGGAAACAGTAAATATTTTAGACTGAGAGAAGAGTTTGAAGGCAGATATGACTGGGAGATGAGGATAGAAAAGGAAGCATGAACAAACCCAGCTAAATGAATTTGGCCTTTATCCCCAGGGTACCAGAGAGACATAGAACCCTTGTCAGAATTTCAGTTTCCAGAGCACTGTCAGACACATGGTGTCATCTACACCTCATAACACACCAAGGAGGCAGGCAGGCAGACCAGGGATCAAACAAGGAAACTAAGGCTCATTAAGATAAAGAAATGATTTGCCCAAAGGCTGCTCATGAGTAATTCATGGCCCTATGTCTAATCCAGAAGCAATGTGTCTCCCAATTTTCAGTCTTGGTTTCCTCACAGTACACCAATCTATTAAAGACCTCAGGACTTGGAAGTGCAATTCTCAGAATGCATATATATTCAAATGTCTCAGTGATGACAACATGCTGTGCCTACTACCCTACTTTCACCTACCATGGCCTTCCTTGGGTGACATGTATGCTCACAAGGCTCCCAAATAGCAGGAATAAAACCCCAGAGAGGAGTAGTAACATTATCTTATCGGGTAGTAGAGGCTGTGGGAAGCCAGCTAAACTGGCACTTGGTGGGTTGTAGGGTCTCAGTCCTTTATATAAACAAACAGAAAATCAGAGAAAATGCCAAGGAAGACATGCTAGCTTCCTAGACGAGGTAACATCTGACTCATTGAGATGAAATTTTATACAAGAACATAACTGGGCAAGCAACCAAAGCATGCACAAAAGACAGGAAAGAGTATAGCTTCTGTTTTAGGACAGTCAAAGCAAATGGAAACTAGTGGAAAGTAAGAATTGGAAGTGAGTCTGATCCAAGGTTCATATGTCCTGATAAGAAGTAGAATTTTCTTCTATAGGCTAATCATCCTCAGTTTCCACTTGTGAAAGATAGCAGTCTTTCATGTGACATTCTCAAGGGAGTCACCAGGACTGTGTACAATTCCTGACATATAACTATAATTCAGCTCCTTTCTCTCATCCTTAAGAAAACAATTATGAGTGCAAATGAGACTGACAGTATCAAAGGAACTCCTATCATATATTTGAGACTCTTATCATATACTTTTAAGGACCTTATCAATGAATTTCAATATATAAAATATTATCAAAAAATTATGTGCCACCCTTTACAGTTGATTACAAGAAACAGGTTGAAATAACTAAGGATTCTTTTTTGTTAAATTCTTTTATTGGTGCATTTTATGTATACAATACATTAATATTTATCATTGGGTGCTTGTACCTGTACATGATGTATCTTAGTTCTTATTTTTTTCCCCATTACCTGTGCACCCTTCACCCCCTCTCACTTCCCTATTTACATAGATTTCAGTTTCATTTTTTTTTCTTTTGTCATAATTTTTCCTTTCCCTGCTTTCCTTGCCCCTTCCTCTCCCACCACTCCTACCCCTTTGGACCTTTTCTACCTATTTCAAATAATGAATTATTCATTTTAATCATTTTAAACCCTTATTTACACTTTGAGATTCTCACACTAGAGAAACTATTCGGTATTTACACATCTGTGTCCTATTTACTTCACTTAAGAGTATGGCCTCAATATGAATCCATTTAGCTATAAATGTCTCTAGTTTCTCATTCTTTATGGCTGAGTAGCACTCCATTTTATAAAAAAAATACCACATCTTCTTTATCCAGTTTCCAGTTGATTTTCACTTGGGCTGTTTCCAAGCTTTAGCTATTACAAACTGTGCTGCTATAAACATGGGTGGACATATATTGCCATGGTATTAATCTTTTAATTCTTTTGGGAAGATATCCAGCAGGGGAATATCTGGGTCAAATGGGA